ATCTCATCTGAATATGTCTCTTTTAAAATGCAGTAATCAGAATGGTACCCAGTACCCTAGCTATGGTCTGACCTCAAAGAATAGAACAAAACCTTCCTCTCTTTTTTCTGCACATTTACTGTTACTGTAGCCTGAGAATCCATTAGTTTTTTGGTACCTGTATTGTCCCTGTTGTCTAATACTAAATTATTGAGCATCCAAAACATTTACGTGCTGCTTATGTAATTGGTTGTTTTTGTGAACTCACATGCAAGCTCTTACATACATCCCTATATTACAGTGGTTCTCAAGCAGGGATGATTTTGCTCCCCAGGGGACATTTGGCAATGTCTGGAGACATTTTTGGTTGTCATAACGGATGGGGAGGCAGGTGGTGGTGTGCTACTGACATCTAGTGGGCAGAGGCTAAGGATGCTCCCAAACATCCTATAGTGCACAGGACACAACAAAGAATGATCCTAAAACGTCAATAGTGTGGGGTTGAGAAGCCCTGCTGTACTGTAATGGATGAGGGTGTGGACTCGGGGAAACAGCCTGGATCTCCTAGAGGGCCTTTGGGCAAAGCAATGGTGCTTTGTTCTCCTGAGTATCTTGAGTGCTCTTGCCGGGCTTCCTAAGGGAACTTCCCCAGGTCACTGTAGTGTTCCTTCATGTTTCTTGTGTCACTATCTTATAACCCTGTCAGAAAAGGAAGTGATTTCAGTCTGTCTTGACTTGCTTTTAGTGAGCTCAAAGAAAGTTCGATAAATATAGAAAAATATTAATATATAGAAATAAATTTAATAGTTACTCCTACTTCTACTATCTAGAGGTAACTACGCCTAACACTTTGGTGTTGACATTTGAGTGAGAGTGCAGCCTAGGGCCAGGTTGCCTGGGATTGAATCCTGGGCGCACAACCTACTAGTTTTATGAGCTCTATTTCGTAGAGTTGTGAGGACTAAACACATCTAATACATCTAAAGGGTTCAGAACAGTCCCTGGCACATTGTAAGAGCTATTCGAGTGATTGTTTCAGTGTTTTTTCTTTGCATGTGTGTATGTGTTTCTATGTCTGTGTATGTATATGGTGTACAGATGAACATGGTTGAGTTTATGCAGTGTATACAGTTTTATACCGACTCTTTTAGCTTTATATGGAGAACATTTACCCATGTTATTAAAAGTTCTCAGCAAACATGTTACTCTGTAGAATACTATGAATTTTGGTACATTAAATGTAAAATAACTAAATAACATAATTTTGTGGTAGATCGTACCACCTTTTAAACTAGATTCAAGGGTAGATTGGTGGTGGCAGATACTAAAGGTTTAAGAGAAGTTTGAGAGAAAAGCTTAAAATTGAAAATGTTTTATCCATTAGCTTACTTTTCCCCCATGGTTGAAAAAAAGACTTTCATTGTCAGATTTTAGCAAAAGACACCTCAGTCTAGCCTATAGAACTCTGTATCCTATTCCCTTCTAGAATCTTGTCTTGGGGTTGATGCAAACCTTCTTGGTTTCTTATCTGTAGAATCTTTCTTGTTTAAATTCTCCTTTCCTCTGCAAAAAAAAAAAAAAAAAGTGTAAGTCTTTATACATTAGAAGAGATTCCTGCCTCTCTATAGCTTTCTATTGAAAACTTTTTTGAGTTGGAAAACAAAAACCCTTTTTCTCTTACACATTTAGATCTGAAATCTTTCTGAAAGTAATGAGTTTTTATTTTGGAATTAGAGTATCATAGTTTTTCATTTGGAAGAGTAAACAGTTTGGTGTGAAACCGTGCAACTGTTTGGCTTCAGAATGGTTTATTTCCTTAGTTTTAAAGATACCAGATTGTGTTTATCTTGGTTCAGTCTCTGTGTATCTGTGCTTCTGTGTTCGTGATATAGTTTGGAATTTTAGAAGCCTTTGAGGGGTTTGAAAGTGAAGATAACTCTTGTAGTTTATTACCAGCATTTTAATTTTAGAAAAACAAAACATATTTAAAGTTTTTATTTGGCAGGAAGAACAATGGCACTGTTGCTCTCTGGGTGGCAGGTGAGGAGGCAAGGGGGAAGTGTCTTTCCAGAGTACAACAGTTTGCTGTCCAAGTACTTTCCTTCTCATAGCTTTCTTTCCCCACCATATTTTTAGGATTCAAACACGATGTTGAGTTCAGTTGTTTGTATTGGGAGGTTGACAAATTGCTATCTTTTGGGTACTCTCTCTTAAATGAATGATTAACTTAGCTGGGTAGCTGTAGTGAAACTTGTTTCAGGAAAAAGGCAGTAGATAGAACATCATTTTAGAAGGGGATCTGGGAATCATAGGCATTAAGTGTGGAATGGCCTGTAAGGGCTGGACCTTGTACTCAGGTGGTTAGTGTGTCACCAGCTCAAATTGTTGAAGCAGCTGAGGCCCAGGGAAATTGAAAGACTTTTGTGAGTCTTGTGAGGCTGACTCACGAGAGTAAGTGGGGAGTAGAATCCTTGCTTGTTGCCTCTCAAGAAGGTAATGTGGTTTAATAGTGCTCTGTTCCCAGGATCTTGGAAGAATCTTGGACTGTTAAGAGTTGAGGCTTTACCTCTTCGGTGCATGAAAGATTTCCATGAATTGCCTGGCATGAGCATCATTGTTTTAGATGAACTAAGTTCATTTTTGAAAGGTCTTGACCAACATTTTTGTTTTGATAGCAATTGCTTGTTCAGAGCTCTTGGTGATCAGCTGGAGGGACACTCACGACGTCATCTCAAGCACCGACAGGAGACAGTGGACTACATGATAAAGCAGCGGGAAGATTTTGAACCCTTTGTAGAAGATGACATTCCTTTTGAGAAGCATGGTAGGTTCACCGTGGGACACTGGATCCTTCAGGAGTAATACATTGGGTAATTAAGTCCATTGGCATCCTCCACCTCCCGGCCAGGGATATGGTTATATAAATTACGGCTTTCATTTATTCCACAAATATTTATTTGCCTACTCTGTCATCAGTGGCATGTTAGGCAGCTGGGAATCAGTCAGGTTAGCTGTATATGCCCTTAATAAAAATGATGATGTAAATTGTCCTGGAAAGCTGTTTGTGACTTCTTATTCAGTGGAGTGAGAAAAGCAGGCTATAAAGTAGTGTGTGTAGGTATATAAATTGATCCCATTTTTTAAAAGGTGTACACAGAGACAGTCTGGAAAGATACTAACATTTTATATTTGTTAATTCTTAGCTTCACTTATTTTTCAGAAATCACTCACTCTCTTTAAATTTTATAAAAGGGAGACAATAATAGCATCTATCTCATAGGGTTTTTTTGTGAAGATTAAATTAGATAACTAAAATAAGCTCTTAGCATTAGCCATCTGGGGATGGTGGGACTATGGTATTTTAAATTATCTTCTGTAGATTTTTCTGATTTTTCAATGATGTATTACTTTTATAGTGGGAGAAACTGATAAAATCATGTTAATTTTTCACCGCAACCCCAAACACAACATGTTTTTTTGAGGCAAGTCAATTAGGGATTTTAATTGATTCTAATTTAATAGTTACAAATCTAATAAGAAAATACAAATGAGCTTTTTTTTGGTTTGTTTTTGGAGGGAGGAGATAGGGTCTCGCTCTGTTGCTCAGGATAGAATGCAGTGGCATCATTATAGCTCACTGCAACCTCAAACTCCTGGGATCAAGTAATCCTCCTGCCTCAGCCTCCCAAGTAGCTGGGACATGTGAGCTTTTAAACTTTAATTTCAGCAGATATTTACTGATTATCTGCTATACTAAGTGCTGATATATTTACGTTTTACAAGTAGCATTTTCATCACAGGGCTCAGTCTTTTTTGTCTCTTATCAGGAAAGAGAGAAGTATTCCTGTGTTTTAGAGAGCTAACTCTGGAGGCCATGTTGAGAGTGACTGAGAATGGAGACAGTTAGAAGGCTCTCCACATTGGCCAGATGAGAGTAGCGGAGGGTCTCCATCAAGGCAACTACTGAGGATAATGGGTAGGGCCCAAAACAAGCCACGGTTTGGCAGTATAATTGACAGAACTCATTGGAGGTGAAGAGGGTAGAGAGAGGAGACGAGGGTGATTCTGCATTTTCTGCTTGGGTAACGCCTAGGCAGCTGTACTGTTAGCAAGACAGAGGGCAGCAGGAAGAGGGCGTTTGAGAGGGAAGCTATTGGTGACCCCAAAGCCTTTCCCATTCCTCACTAGGAAAGAACCCATCGTTAGGCACCACACACACAGCAGCAAAACTTGCAATATGTGGTTTATGCCAATCTCTGAGTTCTGATGGTGCCTCTTCCCGGGATCACTTTTTGTCTAGTTTGTGATGTGAAATTCTGCTTCGAACATCATCAGTGAAGGTCGTGTGGTGGATTTGAGCGTGTGGCAGGACAGTTAACCCCAACCTTCATTTGCCAATGTGATGGTCACTTTAGATGGATCGTGGAAAGGTGTCTTGGAATGTCATTATGCATGCCCGATGGTTGGTGCTATGTAAGAATTTGAGCATCAAAGAAATGAAAAGTGGCTTTGACTGCCAGAGCAGAAATGAAAAGAAACCTGGAAGTCTGTACATTCTCCTTGTGTGTTGCTTGAAGGGTTGACTTACTGCATTTATCACTCTTAAATGGTAATCATTTAAGACTTAAGTTATAGTTACCTGTTTTTAATGTCCATCTACTTTGTTACACTGTGCGATCTTGAGGGCAGGGACTGTGTCTTTGTTTCCTAATGTGGCAGTGCCTAGTATCTGGTAGCCATTCGTAAACTATTTGTTGAATGAATAAATGAGTGATTCATTAAACTGTTGAGGACCTGGTACCCTTTTTGCATCTGGGTGTATCTTTAGGATTATTCCTTTTCTTTAGATTGTGGTTTCAGAGAATGAGCAACATCTTTTCTCCCAGCTATAAAAATATCCAGATCAAAAAACGAGTATTCCTAACGTTTCCTCTCCCTGGCTCCTCATACCCATTCATTACCCATTCTTGTCACTTCTACCTTGATAGTTTTTGTGTGCCACTGCCTCATAAAATCAGGCCTCTGTGGCCATTTGCCTATATTTCCTCAATACTGTTTGGACTGGTATCTTATCTCTTGACCGCTTCAGTCTGTTTTCCATGTTGCAGCCCGAGTGGTGATTTAAGTGTATTTTTCCTCTATCTAAAACCTGTCAGTGGCTCCCCATTGATCTCAGGGTAGAGTCCAAACTTTTTAGCCCTTCATAATCTGTGGTTTTCTTACTTCTCTATCCTCGTCTCTTACCATTTTTTCCCCACATTTTCTCATCCCCCACCCCCAGCCTCAGCCTTCTCAGGTCCCACCGTACTAGAGTCCACAGTCTCTCACCTCTGCTTGGAGCATCATTCATTTCTCCCATGTCTGACTCCTCCTTGTCCTTTGGGTATCAGCTCAGTTGTCTCAGCTGAGAAGCTTATCTGATACACCTCACCTCCCCTTCCCCACTGCCACACTGGCCTTTGTTCCCGACCTGGAGTTAGCCAAACTGCAAGGTTTGAGGGCACAGTCCTTGCAAGACTCCCGTCACTTCTGACACCACCTACAAGTTTGGGGTTTCCCAAAACCATCCTTACAGAATTCACTGACAGCTGTCATACGTAACAGTTATGGTTTATTACAGTGAAAGAATACAGATGGTTAGTAGCCAAAGGAAGAGATTCACAGGGCAGTTGGGAAAGGGTACAAACACAAAGCTTCACTTGTCCTCAGGGCATATTACCCTCCCAGCACCTGTGTATGACAGTACATACCGGGTATTGTCAACCAGGCAAGCTCACCCCAACTTTGGTGTACACAGGTTTTTTTGTATTTTTTTGGTTTTTTTTTTTTCTTTGCTTATTGACTTAAACTGCTTGTCTAAGTGGTTGAACTCCCCACCCTCCCACCTGGCCACAACAATATCAGGTGCCTCATATCAGATGTGATTCATCACGAAAGAGACTCCTATCACCTTTGGAAATTCCAAAGGTTTCAAAGTTAACTCCGAGGAGCCTGGGATAAAGGTATTTGGGCAAGGCCAAATTCTTTACTACGCATGCCCTCCTGGAAGTGCTTTTTATGCATCATTAGTGTCTGTCTACTTGTTTGCCCCAGACTGATGAGTGGCCAAGAGCCAGGGCCTTGGAGTTGGGCTGCCTGGGTGAAAGCGCCACTGTGTACTGGCTCTGTGACCTTGGGCACAGTTATTAACTATTCTGCACCTCAGTTTCCTCATCTGTAAAATGACATGCATAATAATACTTCTTTTATTTACAGATTAATAGTAAAAATCTGTGAGCAGTGATTTGACCAGTGCTTGACACATAATAAGCATTCATTAATGCAAGCTATTATGATTACTGTGTTTATTGTTATATTTCAGCGTCTTTTATAGAGGTAGACATGTAGGAGGTAATCAGTAAATATTTACTCATATTTTTTATTTATTTATTTATCTTTTTAATATTTACTTATTTTTTTATTTTGTTTTTGTTTTTGAGGTTTTATGACTTCATTTGACGTTATTTGATGATCAGTGGTTAGTTCTCATCCACATTGACTGACTGTAGATTTTTGGAAGTGGTAACGGGTATATAGGTAACCAAAAGTATAGAGCTTGTTTGGAGAATCTTCATCCTCATTACATTTTCTGGACAACCACACGTGGATACGGTATGGGACATTCCTTATTCCTCTGGCCCAGGCAGCTTTGTTGAGCCTGGTATCAATGCGTATGTCAGGAGTCCCCATCTCCTTCATGACAAATTTCTGGATCTCTTTGAGTGTCTGAGGGAAACACTTCTTGAAGCCCACTCCATGGATGTGCTTGTGAATGTTGAGGTGTATTCTTGTGTCACCACCTTGTTGACAGCAGAATGGTCCTTCTTGTCATCCTTCTTTGTGGGAGCCCCATTCTGCTGGGGCCAAGTTGGAAAGGAAGAGTGTGAGGGATTGTAGTAAATATTTATTGAAGGAGTAAAAATAAATGGATCCTTGCTTTATGAATGATTAGTGTCCTGAGTAGCAGTCTGTGAATTGTTCAACCAGCTAAATTCCTAGACTGTGACAAAGCTAATGGACTTTTCAGATACACATTCTTATTTTTCGTTATTTGGAACTAAATACCAAAGTATGTTTCATTTGGATTTTTCCATCGTAAAGATTTAATTTTTCTTTCCTATTTCCATGCAGTGGCCAGTTTGGCAAAGCCTGGTACTTTTGCTGGCAATGATGCAATTGTAGCCTTTGCAAGAAATCATCAATTGAATGTGGTGATTCATCAGCTTAATGCCCCTTTGTGGCAGGTAGGTCACCTATTCAAGAATTTATCTTAATCTCTTATTTATAAATTAGCTTTGGGGATATTCTAAGACGGTGGCACTTGACTGGTGACATGGAACTACACAGAATAACTTGGACTGTGAACCTAGCCAAAGATAGGAATCTTGCGGTAGCTTGGAATTAATCCCTGTGCTATGTTCAGATGGAGTCTGGAGTATAATTTAGAAATCTTGTAAAATGTTATAAATATATTCAACAGATGTGGAAATACTTTAGATAATTCCATAAAATATGTAAGTGAGAATTTAAAGGATCGTACGTACGCATTGGAGTTTTGGAGTATGCCCATTCCCTTGTGTGTTTTTGTGCTGCTTAGGTGGAGGGAAACGGCAAATTTATAATCATTGCTAAAATATGTATTCTGAACAACAAAATTTATCTCATGGCCTAGGATAGCAAACTTCCTGTGCTCTGCTCAGCTTATACATAACGGTTCCATGGTTTTTGTACAGCAAATAAGATTGTACAACAAATGTTAAGTTTGTGCTGTGAAGTGGCAGAATACATTGTTAAGCCATTTAGATTTTTACTTTTTTTCCTGGGGTGAAGTAGATGTCCATTCAACTCTTTTAACCTTTCTGTTAATCCCTCCTTGCCCCACTCCATTAACTTATTTATTTATTTTTTTTGGAAACAGATTGGCACACCAATCTAACTTTTTTCTAATTAAAAAGTTAAAATGTGTTAATTGTAGAAAAACTTGAAAATTCAAAAAGGCCATAAAGGCAAATAAAATAAATAAAATCACCCAGCATCACACTACCCAAAGATTATTGCTGTTACTGTTATACCGTGTATCCCTGTCATTCGCACACACACTTAGCTATAAAAACATACATAACTTGAAAGGTACAAATCTACATATATATACACACACTTACGTGTTCGTGTGTATTATTATTATCGTAAAGGTAACAATGTGCTTTTTTTCATATGCCACCTGTATATACTCCTTTGTAAATTGCTTAGTCATAGCCTTTGCTTATTAAAAAAAAATCAAATTTATAGAGATGTAATTTACATATAGCAAAAGTCACCCTTTTGAAAGGTATATAGATCTGTGTATTTTGACAAACACGGTCTTGTAATCACCACTGCTACAGACTAGTGCACTTTTGCAAAAGTTACCTCCCTGTCCTTTGTAGTCACTAGTACCCTGCTCCTATTCCCAGCCTCTTGTAACCACTCTCTGATTTGTCTCTTATAATTTTGCCTTTCCAGAATGTCATATAAATGGAAGGGTACATCCTTTTGTGTCTTGCACAATATCCTTTTAACAAAATTATGCTACAACAAAATTAATTAGATACTCGATGGGTTGGCAAGGAATTTTACTTTACAGGGATATAATGAGCAGGGGTGAAACAGGATCTCTGCGTGTTCTTTAGGGCAGTGTTGCCCGATGTACCAACACCAGGTAGAGCTATTATGTTTTTAGTAGGGCTCTCTCTTTCTAAGGGTGATCTTCAAGCCAAGAATATGGATATCCCTTTATTTAAATTTTTTTAGTCATTAAACATATATTGTGTAGCAGAAGTTATCCAAATCATTTGATGATAGAGGATAATGACCCTAATCTTAAAGGAAAATACTCAGTGCCAACTCAGTAACCAGAGCTTGCCTTTTTCTCCATTGACGACTTTTTTAAAGTTTCTTAATTACCTAGGTAGTTGTGGAAGATAATTCTGCATAATTAGAATTTTTTTCCTTTTTATTATTGTAGCGTTATCTTTCATAAATTGCTAAACATTAAAAATATATACTTTTAAGATATATTTTATTTCCATTGGATCTCCCCCATGTCTCCCTACCCCAATGAAGCTTTTTATAAAATTTAAGAACTGAAACTGCATTGGTTACTATTGTCATGTGTAAGAGCTCTTGCATGAATAGTCTTATGCCAACAACATAGAGATACTGAAACCTAATTTTTTTCTGGTTACAAATAGTATATGTGCTCCTGTGAACAATATAGATGTGTGTAACTTTTTAAAGTGAAAGTCCTCTGTAATCTGCCCGTGAAAATCACAGTTAACAGTGACTATTCTTCCTGTTTTTTTTTTCCTATTCATAACGTATGTATCATATTATTACTGTGTATGTAAGTGTTTTAGGGATTGTGTCATTCAAAGAGTCTAATAAACTGTTTCCTTCCTGGTATTCTTCCTGGGAGACAAATCATGCTATCTCTGTTTTGTGTATGTCCAAACCAGACTCCCTGCACTTTAAGACCAAGGTGTTCTACTGGAGAAACTTCCCCATTTCTGAGATCTGGTCCTGTGTGGTTCCTGTTTGTTCCATGATTTTTGCTGTGTTTTTAAGCCACGGATGCTGTTTAAATTAATGGTAGTTAGTATGTTACTACCTGTGACGTTCAGTAAAAACAGGTGCTGAAGTTTTGGAGTTTTAACAAAGGGGCAGTTACTGGGCTTTCTAAGGGACAGAGTCAGAATAAGAGTTTCTGTGGAGGTGGTGGTTTTTTGAGGGTGTGCCCAGACCTTAGTGCATAACTCTAGGGAGCCCCTTTGTACTGTGCTCCAGGTGTGCTGTTCATGTAGAATGCCTTGTGAATGGTGCCTCCAGGGTTGTGCAATGTGGCAATACTGCTTTGCTCTGCATAATTTTGTTTTGAAGTTGATGTGAGAGATTTGGGTTTGTTGTTGACAACGTTTCTCACATATGTGGTTGATGGAAAAATGCTGTTTTTGTTTTAAGATGGGTGGATTTACCGTGAGGCTACTATAGTGTAGGAGTCAGGCCCCTCATCTGTATGGCTCCTTTTTGAGGTCTTGGGAGAGGTTCTAGCAATTTTATATTTGTAATTTTCTATTCTTTTTCTCAAAGAGGGCCCCCAAATTGTTTGGACTTCAAGCTCAGCAAATCTGGGTCTCCTCTTGACCTGTGCATTTGAGGGGCTAAGAGGTACTAAAGCTCCTGAAACGTAAGCTTAGTGAACTTCATTGTAAATCCGCTCCTGGGTTTAGAATTTGTTTTCATGTAGATTTATTTCAGTGTAGTTACATATTAAATAAGCACACTGAAACATACAAGAGTGGGAAGGAGGTAACTCAGAAATGCTTATGACACATCCCAGTCATATTCCCAGTTAGTGTCTGTATAGAGCCTGTCACCTGGGCTTCCTGGACAGTGCAAGCAGGCATTTCTCTCCAGAAGTTGATGTTGTCCAAATCCTCACTGGCATCTCCCCTCCTCTTGTCTACAGATTCGGGGTACAGATAAAAGCAACGTGAGAGAGTTACACATCGCGTATAGGTACGGAGAGCACTATGACAGTGTTCGGAGGATCAATGACAACTCAGAAGCACCTGCACATCTCCAGACGGATGTGAGTGAGACCTCGTTTTTTTTGTGTCTTCTCAGCCCTACAGGAAACAGTTCGAGAACTGTTTGCTGTGAAACTAAAAAACAGTGATTTTTTTTTTTAATGGAAAGTTGACTTTAAGAATCTGTGGGCTTGATTTTTAAAATATTTTTTATTTTTTAGTTCAGGTGAGAGTGAAGATGAAATTGCCTGTCATTCTTTTTCTTTTCCTAATAGCTTCCATGCTTCTCTGAAATCTGAAAACTGTAGAAAAAGTACGGGAGAAAATAAAAAATACACAGAATTGGCTACCTGGATGCAAATTTTGCTACTGTTTTGGTAGATTTCCTTTCAGTCATTTAATGCATTAAGAAATGGTTGAGACTATATTATTTATATAGCTTTGGTTCCTACTTTTTTCAGTTAACATTATTTATTGCATAAGCCTTTTCTCATGTTTTTACACACTTTCTGAAGCCATCATTTTTAAAACAATTTTATTTCTCGAGTAGGTCATATTTGTCCATGGATTAGAATTCAAAATATATAACAGGATATATAGCGAAAGTCACTCTGCTACTCTTGTGCTTTAGTCACAGTGTTCTTCCTGGATGCAACCAGTGGTATCAGTATATCGTGAAATCTAGAGATAACTTTACATATCAAACAAATATGTGTGTGTGTGCATGTATTCTACTTTTGCCATTTTTACACTCTCCCCACTCCCAGTTGTAACATCCTGCACATCCTATGGATACATCCTGCTCTGTGCTTTTTAAATTTAACATGTTTTGGAGTTTAATTCAGAGAGTACGTAAGGAACTTCCTGTATCTTTTTTTAAAGACTGTGTAGTATTCTGTTGTATGGATGCATTATATAACATTGTTGGCCAGTCCCTTATTGATAGACTTTTAGATGGCTTTCAAACTTTGCTGTTGCAACAATGTGCAGTGCCTTACGTACACCTCATTTCACACATGTGGGAGTGTATCTGCAGGATAGTTCCTGGAAGATCCTTGTTGCATCACAGGATTTTGGTAGGTATTGCCAAATTACTTTCTATCAGGGTTTTACCAGTTTATACTCCCACTTGTAATGCATGGCTCTTTTCTATACCTTTGCCAACACAGTGTTATCATATTTTTAAAATGTTTTTTATTGTTAGGGAAAAAATTGTTTTCTTAATCTAGTTTTAATTTGGATTTCTCTTATTAGTCAGTCTTTGTGTCTTTTCCTGTGTTTAAGACCTCTTTGTATTTCCTTTTTTGTGAACTGTATTCATCTTCATTTTTTTCCTATTATGTTATCTTAATGATTTTTAGAAGCTTTTTATGCGTTAGGGAAATTAGGCTCTGTGTGTGATATGAGTTGTAAATATTTTTTTTACACTCCGTCATTTGCCTTTTCTTTCTCCTGTGGTCTTTGCTATGAAAGAATTTTAGATTTTATGTGGTTAAATTTGTTAATATTTTCTTATATTCCTTTGGATTTTAGGTTATAACTAGGAAAGTCTTTTCCATTCTGAGACTAAAAATAATTCTTCCATAGTTTATTTTAGTACTTTCATAGTTTCATTTTTTAAAAAGCTAAATCTTGGTTCCGTTTGGAATTCATATTCATATAAGGGTGTGAGCATATGGATCCAACTTTTTATTTTCCTTGTGGCTACGTAGTTGTATCCAGACCATTTATTTACTATACATCTTTTCTCCCCTAATTTAAAATGTCACTTTCTTTTACCGTATACTAAATTCCTGTATGTGTTTGAGTCTATTTCTTGACATTTGGCTCTGTTCCACTGATCTCTCTGTTCACATGTTGATGCCTCATAGTTTTAATTAGTAAGGGTATGTTTTAAAATCTGGTAGAATTTTTCACTCAATTTTCTTTTTTAGAATTTCCTATATATTCTTGCTTTTATAAGAGAAATATGGATGTTAGAATCAGTATGTCCAGTTAAAAAGAAGTCCTGTTCAGTTTTTAAAAATTAGGATCTCATTAAGTTAATAATTTAAGGAAAAATTGACATCTTTTTGATGTTGAGTCTTCTTAGCCAAGAACCTGGTAAGCTTTTTTATTTGTTTAATTGACTTTTTTTTAATCTAGAGGAGCATTTTCTTCATATATATCTTCCTCATTTTTTGTTGAGTTTATTCTTACGCATTTTGTGTTTTTTGTTCCTATTGTAAGGAAAGGATCTTTTTTTCTTTATCTTTTCAGCTGATTATCACTTGTATATGAGAACTGTTAACAAAATGTTAATTACATACCCAGATATCCTACAGCACTCTTTTTTTTTAAATCAAGGTAAAATTCACGTAACATAAAATGAACCACTTTAAAGTTTACAATTTAGTGACATTCCGTACACCAGTGTTATGCAGTCACTTTTCCGTCTAGTTCCAAAATATTTTCATCATCTCCAAAGAAAAAACCCTGTGCCCATTAAGCAGTCCCTCCTTTTTCCCTTTCACCCACAGTAACTACCAATGTGCCTTCTATCTCTATGAATTTACCTATTCTGGATATTTTATGTTAATGAAATCATACAGTATATGACCTTTTCTGTCTGACTTCTTTCACCTAACATACTGTTTTCAAGAGCCATCCATGTTATGGCATGTATCAGTACTTCCTTCTTTTTTATGGCTGAATACTATTCCATTACGTGGATATATCGCATTTGTTTATCTGTTTATCCATTTATCTGTTGATGGGCGTTTGGGTTGTTCCCACCTTTTGGCTATTGAGAATAGTGCTGCTATGAGTATGTGTGTACAATATTTGTTTGAGTACCTGTTTTCAATCTTTTGGGATATACCTAGGAGTAGAATTGCTGAGTTATATGGTAATTCTAAATTGAACTTTTTGAGAAACTGCCAAATTGTTATCCACAGTGGCCACACTGTTTTACATTGCTGCTAGCAATACATGAAAGCTCCACTTTCTCCACATCTCTCCAACACTTGTTATTTATTTATTTTTATGGTCATCCTACTTAGTGTCTTATGGTTTTGATTTGCATTTTGTTAATGACTAATGACATTGAACATCTTTTCATTTGCCTTTTGGCCATTTGTGTATCTTTGGAGAAATGTCTGTTCAAGTCTTTTGCCTATTTCTAAATTGGGTTTCATCTTTCTGTTTTTGAATGGTAAGAGTTCGTTGCATATTGTGGATACTAGATTCTTATCAAATATATAATTTGCTGGAATTCTTTTTTCGTCAATTCTCATGGTTTTCTTCAGGTATAGATTATATCATCTACTGATAGTGATTACTTGATTACTTTTTTTCTTGTTAATTTTATGCTTCTAATTTCTTTATTTTGGCTCATTACATTGGCTGTTTCCAATGTTAAATAATAATGGTGGTACTGAAAATTCTTATTGTGTTCCTTAGTTCAATGGGAATGAAGACATCATTCTGTGGATTTACAGTAGTTATTTAACCATACCCCTACTATACAGCCTTTTTAGGTTGTTTCCAGTTATTCATCACCATAGGTAACAGTGTTGTAAGCACTTTTACTTAAATCTTTTCTATATCTGACATTATTTCCTTTGGCTGAATTTTAAAGCTGTGAAACTACTGGGTCAAAGACTTGATACTCTTGCCACAAATTGTTAGGGTATAATTTTATAATAGATTGCTTTGTATAAACATTCTAAGGACTATGCTGCACATTGCTGGACATCACTGTACTTCTACCTGCAAAATAGAAATGCCTGTTGACCTATCTCCCTACATTAATGGGAAGCAGAAAGAGAAGGTGGTTGAGCAGCCCCACAGAGGGATGATTTTAGCTTTCCTGATTTAAGCTCATATTGTAAAGGCCTCATGAACTCCAAGTGAACTGCTCTTTGTGGCTTCAGAGTTTGGGTTGACAGGCTCCCCCTGAGTGTGGTGGTATGCCTTTGAGGTTAGATGAGTCATGCTCACCTGTGGCTGTCTAGCTGGGATGGGAGCTTCCTACCTCAGAGCTCACTGACACTCAAATAAGGCCTGGGAACCAGATGAAAGTTGTATGTATATTTCTTCAAGATAATCATTGTTCTGCAAAACCTCATCAGGTGCAAGTATAGAGGATCATCTTCTGTTGTTAAGCCCACAGCTCTGGAGGTCAGCTGAGACAAATGTGTGCTGTCAGAATTAGCAGTTGTCAAAATTTTGGTATCTAGAAACCGTAGGAGCTCTAACGTCATTCTTACTGAGCAGTTCATCCTGTTTTTTGGGCCTTTCTTTTTAATTCTTCTATTGTCACTTAAATGTCAATGCATGGATAAAATTTAGCTTAGTCATTGCTAGTCTCTTAAGATTGTTTCTAGAATCTTTTCCCCTATATATTTGAATATTTTGAGATTAGAGTGTCGTCTTATGTTAAAGATTCTCAACATGGTTTTCTAGAGTTCTGTGATTATTAGTCTTTATGTTTCCTTTAGTTTCAGATACTTCATCAAGATGAATCAAATAAAAGAGAAAAGATTAAGACAAGGGGAATCGATTTTGAAGATGACCTGAGAGATGAAGTAGAAGATGCCGTCCAGAAAGTTTGTAATGCAACTGGATGTTCAGTTAGTATTTCTGTCCTGCAGTAATGACTTAGAAGCAAGCGCTGCTGTGCCTCGTTTACCTGCTAGTTGTGTGGCACCACTCTAGTGTGCCAGCACCTGGTGGGCCAAAATGGGCCCATGGGATTTGTAGTTTGATTAGGTTATGTGATAGGGCTTAATGAGAGCTGTTTATTCATTTCCCTTTTGTTTGCTAGACTTTACCCAAGACTGCTCTAAATCCTAAGGAAATATGTGGACTTAATTTTTTCTGACTAGTGTTTGCAGTAGCACAAGTGCAGTTTTATAAAGGGAATTCATTTATAAAAACACTTTAAATGGTTATTTCAGGTGACCAACCTTATTGAAAATTGACATTTTCTAGATTGAAAATGTCCTGAAACTTTGTGTCAGTTCTCATTAATCTTTGTGTTTATCAGACTGTTGAAGTAGAGCTAGGTAGAGAAGTATACCCAGAGTCTTGAAGTTTTTCTTTGTTTCTTGGATAGGATTTTAATTTAATAGTCCAGAACCTGGAAGCTGAAAACTATAATATTGAATCTGCAATAATTGCCATGCTTCAGATGAACCAGGGAAAAAGAAATAGTAAGTTCATGACTGATATTTATAAGCCTTTGAAATGATCGTGTTGATTTTCCTAATACTTATTTTTAATCAAGTCCCAGGTAGTAATTGTACTGTCATTCATTCAGCAGTTGTTTATTGAGCACCTTCTATATGCAGGCATTTTTTACTAGGTCCTGACCCTGTATCAGGAGTAGAGTTTGGGGGTGGGGGGAATGGTAGAGATAGGTACACTGGCGCAATGGGGTGGGGGTGCCACATGCTAGAGGCACTTGAGGAGGCCACCTAACCCAGACTTGGAGGGATGGAGAGTGTCAGGGAAGAATTATTGTTTTAGAAAGGAGATCCCCTTAGAATACCAAAATGATAACTGAAATAAAATGGAGAGAGAAATACCTTATTTTTCTGATGGAAATATATAGAGTTTTATTTAACTGGTGATAATTCAGAGTATTTTTTTTACTTGAATTGAGTTTAATTTTGTGACTCAGAGGAAGAAAAAAAGGAGATAACATGTTATTAATTTCTCAAGTCATTTATTTTAAATGATATCAATAAATACTTACTGCAGATATTATTTGCCAGATGCTGTTCCTAGCATCATAGTTCTTTCTTCATGTGATTGGGTGTTTTATTGTCTACTACATGTTTTCTGTGCTTTCTTTAAAAGCTATGGATAACTTGGTCTTTGTGACTTCAAACAGCACCCTCCAGTGATCTGTGCTGTTCAGTGTGGTGTGTACTTGACATATGTATAATGAGACTGGGGAGCCACATTTTAAATTTTATTTAATTTTAATTAATTTAAATGTAAATAGCCACAAGTGGTTGGTGGCTGCTGTATTGGACAGCACAGTGTTAGAGCCTGTTTTCTTTCTGGGTTTGTGTGCAAATAGAAGATTTCCTCTGAAAAATTCCTGTTAAAAATAGTTACTAGAATAAAGCACTCTGCTGGTGGGAAGCTGATCATAAGGCTGGTTAACAGGTTATTTTAAAATTTATCTTCCAAATTTTACCAATCTTTTTTTTCCCTATGTTTCCCACCATATTGACTTGATATTAGGAATTTGTCTCAAGGAAACTTGCTTCCCAGGTGACGGTGATCTAGGGACCCAGGTAATCTTGGTCATTTAACACAATGGTCACATTGTGTAACTCTCTTATTTACTCTAAATTTTAATGAAATATCTTTTTTTGGAAGATGCAGAGGAGAATCTTGAGCCCAGTGGTCGAATGCTGAAGCAATGTGGCCCTTTATGGGAGGAGGGTGGCAGTGGTGCCAGAATCTTTGGAAATCAGGGCTTAAATGAAGACAGGACCGAAAATGATAAGGCGCGGGCCAGCCCTAGTGAAGAATACAAAGCAAATAAGAACCAGCCCCCAAAGGTATGAAGGGTGGGGCCCAGAGGGCGTGTGGTGGGCTGGGGTAATAATTCTGTGGCCATGGTGGGCACCTGAAATTCATTTTAGTGTGTCTTTTTCTTTTGATTAATAAAAGTAGTTATTGTGGAGAATCTGGGGAATGCATAAAGGTATATCAGGATGCAGAACGAAGACCTCATGTGTCCTTTTGGTATACGCACTGACAAGTGGGAGGAAATACACCCTGAGACTGTCCTATGTGTGCAAATGTATAGCCTCCTTTCCCACCTGACATAACTGTATACATGAATTCTTCCCATATTAATCCAAATTTTTATAAATGCCTTCATCTTCTGTGAACACCTTTGTGTATAAATCTTTGGTTTTTGCATTATTTTCTTGGATAGATTCCCAGAAGAGGAAGGAACAAGTTAAGGGACATGGATAGATGAATCTTTTTAAGGCTTCTGGTAAACCATCAAGTGCTTCCCAGAGAGGTTGTACATCTCCCTCCCTGCCCTGCACTCCCACAAGTAGTATGTGACATCCTTCATTTTACTGAATTTGGAATTCATTTTAAAGACTTTAACCAACAAGTTCTGAGCTCAAAATACCACATAATGTAAAAAGCCACCAGCAGAGGCAAAGATACAATAAGCTTCTGAGGATTTTGTTAGAATTACATGGTGCATTAAATTACAAACAGAAAGGTGTCCTCTGGCATATTTGAGTGTTATCTCTTGTTGGACTAGAGTTACTGTTTCTTTAGGTCATTCTGAGTTGGTTTATGAGAAGAATGGAATTGATTTTGTTTGCTAGTTCAGCAAGGGGATATAAATTTAAATGTAAATTCAAGCACTAATGGAAAATAAAGCATTTCTGGTGTCTTAGGCTGGTTTTCTCTGTTCTTGCGGAAAAGCATTCTGTGCCCTTTGCGTCTGTCAGCTGGCACCTTCTAGCAGCAGCAGCCTGAGTCAGCGGTGCCTGGAGACTCACCCCTGTGGTCTCTTTCAGGTCACAAACAAACAGAGGAGAGAGCAGCAGCGGCTGGAGAAGAAGAAACGACAGGAGGAGAGGCACCGTCACAAAGCCCTGGAGAGTAAAAGTGGCCACAGGGACAACAACAGAAGTGAAGCAGATGCGAACACACAGGTCACCTTGGTGAAGACCTTTGCTGCTCTCAACATCTGACTCTCCGGCCTCCTGGGAGTTAAAACAAAAGCAGATGGAAAATGGAGGCTGCGTCCCAGGCTTTCCAGCGAGGCCGTCCTTTCACAATACGAAACACAACCAAGAAAACCCACACATAAGCTCACATACAGACTTAGTTTCCTTCAAGCTGCCTATTTTTTGTTCAATTTTGTCAGTGATGTGTTTTGTTTTATGAAAGTGCAGTGAAGCCATTCATGTTCTGTACTACAAACGTATAAAATACTGAGTTTTAGGGACGGATGAATAGGTCAGGAAAAACCTTTTAAGTGTAGCTTTATTTGCCCTGAAAGTCAGAGTTCAGTGATCCTGGGATCTTTCCTTTAACACTGGGGGTGAATTTTGCTCTAATTGTTCTTGAAATAGTTTAGCGTAATTGTTAGAAATTCAGAATGACAAGCTTCCTTAGTTTCTATTTCATTTTCAAACAGGTATTAACAAATAGGGTAGTTTATAAATGATCTCCAACTCAGGAACGTGTTTAGATTTAATTTTCTTCTAATCCGAATTACTCAGAAAATAATTCAGGAATTGTTTTCCCAGCGTAATATGATATGAGGGTTGTGGCCTGTAGTCAGGATGGAAATTAAAAAACTACATTTCTTTCTTTCCTGATTCTGACGTTATTTCAGATGGGATGCAGGTGCTGTTAGTTCATTTGCACTCAAGCCATATGATAAATGCACCTGACTGTTAATTAGGCCTGGGCCTTTCTGGGAAGTCGATAATGTCTTGTTTTTGGTACTTGTTCCCTGACAATGGGAAAATGGCGTGTTACTGCTTGTGGTGCGGTTCTGGAATTCTGATAGTATGTAGAGCAGGGTCTGTAGTTGTAGAGGGAGACGTTAGGGGCTTCCTGGGGTTTTGCCTAGGAGAAGTCTAAAGAATTATTTGCTTTTATAGGAAGAGAAATCTGGAAGAGTATCTAAGGTTTTTCATGTTCACATTTTAAATGATTGTGTATTTTCTTCTCTGTTATTCTAGAGTTAGAAAGAGAAATAAAGGATCACTTGACCTTATAGGTTGGTAAACTTGCTTGGTATTGTGGAAATGAAATCTCGTAAAATGCCACATTTATTTCATTTTGTTTAAGCCCTGTTTGTTATTTTGATATTGGCAAAACTCTCCAGCATCTGCTGGAAGTTGTCAGTGGTTTAGGTTGGACCAGCAAGGAGGAGAACATACTTTGGTTAAGGTCTTTGAATGACTCTACAATTCTGAAATAGATTTGGACAGAGGAGAGATGTCATTCCAAAAACTGAATTAGGTGGACGTGAACTGTAAAACTGTAATGTATGAGGTGACCAGTCTTGGGCAGTCTTTGCCTTTTGGGGACCTAATATTTGGGCAGATAATATATGCTGAGTCAAAAGGCAAATTATTAGTTGTCTCCCCTACCCCTCAAATTTCAAAATTATAAAAACTTGGAGGCAAACTGAAAATGTTTTGACATGTGTAGACATATTGGCTGGCAGGCCCTGAATTCATTGAATTGTCCAGTAGGCTGTTTCCTTTCTGCAGTTTTAATGATGATGCCTTTTGATTTTTTGTTTGATTTTGGTGGCCTTCTGTGGATGGAGCATCAGTAGTCTCTTGGAACTGCTCCCAGGACATTGTGGTTTGAGTTTCTTCCTGGGTACAGTACTTTGTAGTATTTAGCAGGTTTTAAAAACCACATATTTTTTTGCTTTGCACATTGTGGAGTCCCGAGTTCGAGGCTCTAGTGCTGTACTCAGTCCAAACAAGTGAAGGACCTTTGTGGCCTTACTCTAAGAAAGTGGGATCCAGTGCTTTACGATTTGTTATTCTCTTGGTTTTCAACTCTGGGCCGATTCCTGACTGGCAGAGCTTTGCTGAATGAACACTTTCCTGTCTGTTTCGTACAGCTTAAGTGCAGAAGGACCAGATCCTGTCAGAAAGATCGAGACCGTGTACCAGAACTTCACATTTAGGAGTCAGAAATAGCTTAAGGGAGACCAGTTGTCAGAAGTAGTAGAATTGCTTTATTTACTTGGTTAATGAAGGTGTCCTTGAGCCCTGTTGGGTTTTAGAAGTTGAGAAAAAGTTAACTAAAGAATATTGGGAACATTGGTTTATAAATTACCTGATTCTGATAATAGCATTTCTGCGGTACAATAGCAGGACTTTTAAAAACTAATCAAATGGCTTTAGTAATTTTCTTCTATTACCATTTCACAGCTTTCCAGCTACAATCGGTCTGGGTTTAGTGTGTTAATTATTAGGAATGGGGTACATGCACCCAACTTCAATGATACCTTCTAGCGTAAGGGTTTGAATTTCGTCTTCCCTGCCTCAGTCTCAGTGCAGCAAGTAAGGTAGATGGACTCTCTATGCTTAGTTGTCTTAGTGGGCACTTGAAAATTATTTCATTGGTAGCTCAAATGAAGGTCAAGTATGTTTAGTCCTGGGATGACTATTGTCAGTGACTATTGCCCGAATGCAGTTACTCGTGTGAACTCTGTCTTAGGAACTGAATCTATCTTAACCTCTGTGTTACATCTTGGCTGGTAGAGGTTTATGTTACGTGGGATTGTCCTGGTAGCTTGTAGTGTGGCCAGGAGAAAGGGGTAGGGCAGTGGTGCATAGCTGCTTACTGGTTTTATAAACTGTATATAAAGGTTTTATGGATTTGAAAAAAGATTTTTTTTAAAGGTCAAAATAAATAAAATTTTAGCGGCAACAACTTTGAATTAGAGAGGTAGATGTATTAAAACAACATAGAACCACAACTTCTAAATAATATAGTTGCCAGCAGGAGATATTAGAAAGGTAGAATGTATATGTATATGTAGTTTTTCAATAATATGAACATAGATTTTCAGGAGCAAAGTACGGTTGAGGAATTGTGGCAGAGTGAGTTTTAAATGTGAAAGTTGTCTGTAGTTTCTTTTATAAGCTCTGAAAACACTTCCAATGCCAGTTTGGTTCTGAGGGCTTGGGAAGTGGAATCTCCCTTTCGCGGCAGCTAGAGCTGGGCTTGGAGGGAGCCTTTCTGTAGGTGCCTTGCAGTGCCCTGCCCTGCTTCCCCAGGGAACTTCTGCAATGTGAAACGACAGGATGGCCGGGGGCGGGAGGAGGGCCATGTGTAGTCGTGGAGGGGGTTGCTCACGGATTATGTAGATCATCAGACGGACTTCGGCATCGAACTTAACTTGTAGTGAGTCCCTGTAGTCATTGTGCAGTTTCTCTTATTCTGAGAAACTCTCTAGATTCCACCTGGGTTTTACTGGGTCAACATAGAGTGCTCTCAGTTTACCTCTGAAATATCTGGTCAGTTAAAGAAACTTGGATTCCTTGTCAATGTTGACTGAAAGTCATGCTGATCAAAAGGGTCTTTGCGGGGGGAAGAGATGGGAGCGTCCTGCTTCCCGTGTGTCCCATCCGCGGCGTGGCCCTCTCCGACTCTCTCTTTGTGTAGATGCACAGCTCTTCACCTTTTTACCTCAAGGCTCTGTCTCGCCACATGGAACCTGTAGACTCAGAGTCTGATGCAGTTGTTCTGTTTTGCCATTCTCGTCATTCCCAGTTTCATTCATCTCAGCTTTCAGAACAGGTGTTTCTAAAACTCTGGGGCCTTCGACCGTTGTTCTGAGGTGATTTAGTAATGGCACTTTTTACAAGATGGGTTTCCCTGGCTCTAACGTAAATGGTATTTTTCCACTGACATCATTGAATTGAATATCTAGATGGCATGTTTAAATTACAACAAATCTATCATCGCATGTTCTAAAGGAGAAAATCAGTAATTTGGGGGAAGTGGAGATATCATGGCGCACAAGTCACCAAGTGCGTGTGCAGTGTGTGACTCAGTTTGCTGTTGAGCTGGGCCACAAGAAAGCTGTGCCTTGTGGATGGCCCAGCCTTCTTTTGTCCCAAGGTAAAATTCCCCTTCAAACCTCAGGCTCTTAATTATTTCTTCTAAGTGGTTGCTCTCTAGTGTCTCTCTTTAACTGTCCTCGTTAGGACTACTTTGTGGCTCGACGCAAATGTTTAGTATCCGTGCAGAATTACTTGAGAAGGGGCTGGTTCCAGTGTAAAGAATCTGAAAGCATGAACTTTTGCATAGTGAATTTGTTTTAGGCAGGTGTACCTGTGATACAGAGCTGCTTCCGCTCACTGTGCTGGTCCTCACGCAGGTAGTGACCACTGGACTAAACCTCCATGGTCTGGCTCTAGTCTTTCGCATGGCACCATCCAGCAGGTCTCTGTGCCAGCTGTCCATGACAATCATTTGAGCTCAGTCACGGGCCTCAGCTGCGGGTCGGATCCCTTGGCAGGTCCCTCGAGCAATGCTGGTGAGAGGCTCCTCACATTTTCCCACTCTTACGGTTCATTTTTCCTGGCAGGAAGGGCCCTTGGCCTCCCTGGCTGCCCTTCCGGCGTCCTTCACCAGCACCAAGCTCAGAGGGAAGCAGAAAAGAGCCAGGAGCCAGACTCCGCCCCTGCGTGCTCCCCTTTCTGGTGGGGAAGTGTCGGTGGAGAAAGGGCCGTCTCTTTTTTCTAATTGCACTATACTTGTTCTAGCTTCAGTCTGGAGATACTTAAGACCTCCGTGGGGTCATGATCCATAGACTTAGCAAGTCTTGCCTTATCTATGGAGCTTGATGGTGAGAAATGTGACCATTGTCTGATGTCCATAGTTCCTTTCCCCTCCATTGTTTCCTTCCACAGATTGCGTTCATCTGAACCATTTTATTTTTTATTTACCAAAGTACTGTACTTGGCTATTTGCAGTGTTTTCAAAACCAAATGTTTCTTTTTTTGTGTTTTTAATCTCCAATACTTGGTGCAATAGAAGCTGCAAAGATGTGCCACTTTATCTATGAAATGGAGTTTTGTATACCAATAAATTCTAGTTTAAAAGCAGAGGTTCCGGTTGTTCTTATCAGTATCTGACCACCGTTTGAGTGAGCGAGAGAGACAGAGAGTGTCCTGGGAAGTATCTTTCTCAGAGACCGTGTGGAAGATGTGTGCATGTGTCAGTGTTCTAGCTGTATAGTCATTCGGGATCTGACTGAGCTTGAGACAGCTGATTTTAGCTTTAGTGCCCGGAGTACAGCCACCACACACACTGACAGAGCCGTTCTGAAACACTGGACACTGAAGAGTTCTGCTGGGTATCTAAGAGCATCTCTGATAACTTGAAATTGTCTAAATACGGAGCAGTTGTCTGTCACCTGCTACCTTGGGGTTCCTCTAGAACTCTGGGGCTTGGTTTGACCCCATTCCAGGAGGAGGCCCATGCCCCCAGACACACGTGGCAGTGGTGTCTGGGACACTGACTCACAGAACTGGAAGGGGGAAGGACAGCCACGGGAACCCCGAGGGAGGGGAGTCCCTCACTGTGTCCACGTGAGGACTCTGGTCAGTCGAGAGGTCATGGGGCCGACTATCCAGACCGCACGGTGTCCTCGTGATTTTGACTTTGAGACTCCCACTCTTTGTTCTTAAATCTGTACTGGATAAGCAACCTTCCGAATTGGCACCCAAAAGTAGGATGGTTTCCTGGATGAAAGAAATTGTTCCGGCTACTGGCAAGGAATTTCTCCCACAGCCGCTTAAACTATCTTCCTTGTGTGATTTTTTTTCTGATTCCACAACTGAGAGGCTAGTCATCTCTGGGTGGACAAACACCAGCCAGTTCTTGACCCTGTGAGGCCCAGATTCTGGACCTTATTAACCCAAGTAATGTTCTTTCGGAAAGATCCTGCTGTGGACGAACTGATGTCCCGATTTAGGTGCTGCCCCCACCCCACCAAAAGACTTGCATGGCCTCTAACTTAATTCCTTTCAGGGTTCGGCTGGG